TCTAATACTGGTTTAGGATTCTATAAGGGGAGGGTTTATTTAGTTAAGATAATAAACTATTAAGAAAAGGGTCATCAGAGTTCTGCAGTTCCCTGCTCTACAATGTCCTTTGCATCTGGACTGGAGCTGTTCATCCCGTGGGATCACACAAACCCGGTTAAAATTGTGCCATGACCAAACCAATAACGTCCGGAATCGAAGAGTTACTTATTCCTATAGATATTTCTTGAATTTAAAGAAGAATTTTGCCTATATTTTAAATATGTAAATATTATTATACATAATTCACTTAGAAAATTAACTTGGATAATGATGACGGCTGAAGGTAGACATTTTTAAGGACGAGTAACTTTTGTGGTCCTTAGAATTCCATTTGGTTCGACAACTAATGTGAGCTAAACACCCCTTTCACAAGCTTCCTTATTTCAGTGTGTAGTCTTTTATTGCTGGCCAGACACGTGTCATAGCATGCAGAAACCTTTGATTCCAAGGCCCATCTTCCTACAAGAGGCTGAATTGAAACAGGAACATGGAATTGGGTTGAAATCGCAGTGCAAGTCTTAAATGCTTAACAGAAAGGATGCACCCGAGGGACCGCCTCTGCCTCATCCTGCATCACCTTGTGTCTGAAGGGAAGAAACTCCGTTAGACTGACACAGTTAAACTCGGTGTTTGTGCAGTTCAGCCCCTGCTCCATGTAGTTCCCTCTGGGAAGAGCAAGAAATACTGTAAATAGGCTTTAATGTGGGAGGCAACAACCTGGGTTTCCTCAAAGCAGTCACTAGAAAGAATGAGATGATGCTGGGGTTTAAGTTGAATTCATTTTTATCTCTTACAGGAGGAGGCCCCAAAATGAGACAGAGCAATTCTGGTAAAGACATTAAGTAACTGTAGTGCAAGGTAATATCCCAGCCTTCAAACCCTTTCCACATTCCTAAATGTCAAGAACCAAGCCTTAGAGTAGTGCGTGTAAGCTCTTACAGTAAGGAAGCAATTGCACAGCACAGAGGGATAGATGGCGTTTAAGCTTTGACTCAAAAATCACCTTTCTTGCATTCATCATCTTCTAAGAACAATTAAATTCCTGGGTATGTTAAGGAAATCAGATTCTGGATGCAGTGGGAGGTGATACCGGATACTGCAACAGGGGGTTTTTGAGTCAGAAGTGGTCTCCAGTGTAAGTGAACTTGTTCAGGATGTTCCAAATGACCTCAGTCAGAGTTTGGAGGCAGTTTGTCATCGGTTTATAGGCTGAACTCTGAAGACCCTGTGGCAGCTGGAGCACAACTCAGTGTGTCTGTAAGCAGAACAGACCTCCTGATGTGCTGTTAGCTCTTTGCTGAAGGCAGGAGTGTTCCAAAGGCTATTCCTGAAACCTCTTTGGTGGGAGAATAGATTCAGGCACTGGAAGTTACTATGGCAAGGGTGGAGTTGAGCTGCTTGCAAACACTTCACTTACCTCTGGGAACCGTGTCTGTACCCACCACAGCAGTCAGGCAGCGTGGGAGATGCTGTTCATGGGGAGGAAGGTGCCCCTGTGACCTGTTGCTGCTGTTGGTGCTGCAGCTTAGGGTGTGAAGTGCACAGAAGTGGGTCTCCCTCTTTAGCCAGCAAAGTCTTGTTCCATGACCATCACTCTTTGTATGTGTTTCGCAGTGCAGCTTCACTTCCTCGTTGCCTGTTTCTGGTGGTCTTCACCGTTTTCTTCCTCAAACTGAAGCATTTGGTGTTTCCACAGATCCGTTGTCCATTGAAGTGGATTTTAAGTGCAGTTTTAGGATTGTCTTTTTATTTTGCCTCGTGATGTTTCAGCTGTAAGAAAAACGCATGTATTAATTCAATCAAAGAGCCCCGGTATGGGGCAGATAGACTCTCCAAAATGGCTTTTTCAAGACATCCTGAATTATTTTGGTTTTTTTTTTTCCTTGTTTTTATTGGCATAGGTATTAATGGCTTCTCTTGGTTTGGGGATTTCTCTTGCAAGTTTACTGGGTGCTCTTAACCTTTTCTTCTGGCATGTTCCATTTCTCTGCCTTGGAGAACCGCAAGTTTACAGTCCTGCCCCTTGGAGGAGAGCACATTCCATCCCTGATCTCCAGTAAGTGACACACAGCAGCTGGCCAGCTCGGACTTTGCTTCTGTCCATGTTTGGCACAGTGAAGAGCAGTGTCCTGGAGAGGAGGAAGTACGGAGCTGTGACTCTGGAAACCACGCATTCCAGCTCCAGCTCTGCTGATGACTTACCACAAGGCCTTCCATGGGTCATTTCACTCACTCCTTCCGTTTCTTCCTCTGTAAAGGAGGATCTTATCTAATCCTTACAACATCCCTGTGAGGTAACTTAACTGTACAGCACTAAGTGCTAACTATTTCTCATTGCAAGCCTCTTTGAGGCTGGGCTCAGTTTGTTCTTCCAAACTGGTTTAGTGATCGTTCGGTTGTCAGGGCAAAGCTGTCACAAGATGCAGCCGTGGTGCTTTAGAGAACAAACTCAGTCACTTGGCAGGGCCGCTGGGTTCGGAGCTGGATGCTTTCCCCTCAGTGCTGACTCAAGCCTGGAATCCCAAGCAGCAGGCTTCTCCACACCAGTTTGACTTTGCAGCTTGTGCAGAAGGCAAAAGGATTCCCTGCCATGGCCCATCCGATTCCATGCTAACAGCTGCAGTGAAACCTATAAACCTAGGAATTCCTAACGCTTTGAACTAAAGGATTTTGTATGTCTTGCTGTTCACGAATACTCCCTAAGCAAAAGATGTGGGAACAGGTAACTTCAAGCCCTGTCTTGTTAGAATTTGCACTGCCTTTCTGCTCTAAATCAATGTAATTCCAATGTGTCACGCTAACTGTCCTACAGATAAGGTTGTAAAAACGAGACGCATTTTAGCCCTAGATGGAGTTTTGCTTTCGTTTCTGTCAAGCTCTCTGCCATTGTCAGATTCAGGCTGCAGCATTATGTAATTATGTATAAAGGTTTTATTTATTTCAGATTAGATTAGCTCTATGTTTTTAACACCTGGCTGGACAGTGTTCCATTAACGCATTGATTGTGTTTCCTTTGTCTTGTGTTAATAAATATTGATGCCTGATTTGCTTGCTGAGTGATTCACCTGCTCTTTCTCTCGTGGATTGTTATTGTAGGGAAGGAACCATGGGTTAAGGAAGGGGACAAGCCCTAAGTATTGTGGGAGATGCTTTATGGCACTTGTATGAAGAGATATTGTGAGATGTATCTAAAGGGGGCTATAGGGATGCTGGGGAGGGAATCTTCATTAGGGACTGTAGTGACAGAACAAGGGGTAATGGGTTCAAACTGAAACAGGGGAAGTTTAGATTGGATCTAAGGAGGAAATTCTTTGCTGTGAGGGTGCTGAGGCACTGGAATGGGTGCCCAGGGAGGTTGTGAATGCTCCATCCCTGGCAGTGTTCAAGGCCAGGTTGGACAGAGCCTTGGGTGCCCTGGTTTAGTGCGAGGTGTCCTTGCCCATGGCAGGGGTTGGAACTGGATGGGCTTCAGGTCCTTTCCAACCCTAACTATTCTATGATCAACCAAGTCACTTAAACCAGCCAATAAATCCTTACATAAATGCATTTAGGAGCAATCAGGTACCCCAAATGGCAGCAGATTCTTGCCTCAGTTGTCACTGCTCTGGCCCAGGCACCTTCTCTGGTACCACAGTGTTAAGAGCGAGTTTAACACACTTACAATCATAGACTCATGGAATGGGTTGGGTTGGAAAGGACCTGAAGCTCGTCCAGTTCCAACCCCATGCCATGGGCAGGGACACCTCACACTAAACCAGGGCACCCAAGGCTCTGTCCAACCTGGCCTTGAACACTGCCAGGGATGGAGCATTCACAACCTCCCTGGGCACCCATTCCAGTGCCTCAGCACCCTCACAGGAAAGAATTTCCTCCTTAGATCCAATCTAAACTTCCCCAGTTTCAGTTTGAACCCATTACCCCTTGTCCTATCACTGCAGTCCCTAATGAAGAGTCCATCCCCAGCATCCCTATAGCCCCCTTCAGATACTGGAAGCTGCTCTGAGGTCTCCACGCAGCTCCAGGCTGAACAGCCCCAACTTTCTCAGCCTGTCTTTATATGGGAGGTGCTCCAGTCCCTGCTCATCCTCGTGGCCTCCTCTGGGCTTGTTCCAACAGTTCCATGTCCTTATGCTGAGGACACCAGAACTGCACCCAATGCTCCAGGTGAGGTCTCACAAGGGCGGAGCAGAGGGGCAGGAATCATCTCCTTGGACCTGCTGCTCACGCTCCTGTGTGTAGGGGAAGCTGTGCACAAGGCCCTGTGGCAGCAGAAACCATCACTGAGCTGTGTTCAACTCCATCATCCCTCTGCTCACCCGCAGGTGCTCGGTAAACCCCGGCCTCAGTAAGCCAAGGAAACAAACGGTGATGCCTGCAATGGACACAGAGCAATGCGGTGGAGCTTTAACCAAACCCTTCCTAATGCAGTCCTGGGGGAGGGCAGGAGACGCTGTGAAGCCTGGGGCCTTTCCCCCCTCACGCTGGGGTTGGAACTGGGTGCTCCTGAGCTCCTTCCCGACTCAAACCGGCCCCTATGGCTCTGCCTCCAGTGCTCCCAGGCCACCCTGAGGCCGGGCGGGCCTTGCCGCCGCGTTACCGGTGCCTTGTGGAGGCCGCAGCGATGCCGGAAATTCCTTCCTAAGAAAACAGCTCCCGGAGGGAACCGAGCGACCGGATAGAGGGGGAATGACCCGGTTCTCCCGGGCAGGGAACGCTCCAGCTTCCCCGGGATAGGTCCGGGCCCGGGCGGTCCGCCAGGGGCGTCCTCCCGCTCCTGGGGCCTGTCGCTACGCTCTATCCCCGCCTCTCTATGATACCCGTGGCTGGTAATGCACCGTACGGGGGCGGTGCCGCGAGTAGACGCTCTAGCCTCCGCCTAGCGGGGCTGTGCGCGGAGGGAACTCTATGGTGGGGATTTCTAGGCGAGGCCTCCGCGGGGACTCTATGGTCGCAGCCCGCCCACCGCGAGCGTCCCGCGCGGCCCCGCCGTGTTTACGATGCCGCCGGCGCCGCTCTCCTGAGGCGGGCACGGCCGCGGCGGCTCCGGTTCCTCCGGTTCCTCCTCTCCCGACGCGCGGGCACCGGCGGGGCCCGGCGGGGCTCTGAGGTAAGAGCGGGCTCCGCCGGGCGGGGGAGGCCGCCCCCTTCCCCTCGGCCCGCCCGCCCCTTTCCCCCCCCCACGGGCCTCGGGCAGGCCCGGCCAGGCCGCACCGCTCCCCTCAGGCCGGGGCCGAGCCCTGCTGCAGGCCCGGACCCGAGGCTCCTCCGCGGCCTCCGTCCTGGCCGCCGCTTCCCCCCCCCTCCAAGGGCCTCGGGTCTGGGTCGGCGCCGCGGAGGAGCCTCCGGGCCCGCGGGGGGTGCCGGAAGGGGTCAGCGGGCAGGGCCCGGCGCGGAGCTGTCAGTGAGGGGCAGCGGGGGCCCCTTCGCGGTCCCATGATGGGTGTCCCTTCTCGTTCATTCTGCCGGGGACAGTGCCTGTCCTCTTCCGGCACTCGAAGCCGATGGGAGGCTGTCGATGCAGGCTGTGCCGATACCTCCCTTTGACAGACCCCAGGGTCCCTGATGTCCGTGCATTGCACCCTGCGGGCTCTTACTGCTGAGGCTGCCTGTGAAGGGAGCGCTCGCCAGGCTCCATTGCGCTGGGGTGGGGAAGGGAGCCCATGGGAAGGGGTGAATGAGACCCAAAGGGGTAACGGGGGGCACGGGCTCCGGCTCCGCGCCTTCTGCCGCGGGCTTGCACCAGGGCCTGGGAGGGAACGGGAATTACGAGGGGCTCCCACGTGGGGAAACTTCCCCCCAGTGCCTGGAGGGCGGAATGAAGCGAGTGGGGCTCGGGGCGCGCAGGTTGCCCCCGGGCGCTCTGAAGCGCGCTCGGTTTGGGCGGGTCGGGATTCGGCTGTTAGCGGTTAAGGGTGGGATTGTGTGTGCGGGAGAGTAGGTTAAGGCTTTGTCAATAACTGTATTTTATAATGGTTAATGATATGGGATAGGTAATGAAACATGAACATTATAAAGCATAGATATCAAATATAATAAATACAGTATTTATAATGCTTTAAGGCTTTATCTATATATTTTATAATAGTTAATGATATGGGATAGATAATAAAACATAGACATTATAAAGCATAGACATATCAAATATAGTATTTATAATACTTTAAGACTTTATAAAAATATATTTTATACAATAATATAAATTACGAAACATACATTATATAAAATATAATAAATGTAATATAATACTTTAAGACTTTACAAATATATATTTTATAATATTTAATGTATAAATAACAAATTATAATATATAGAACTTATATGAAAAAGAATATATTTATAGTACATTAAGACTTTACAAATATATATTTAATAATATTTAATAATATAGAATGTGTAAATAACATAAATTGTAAAATATAGAAAATAGATGAAAAATAGTAAATATATTTATAATCCTTTAAGTATTTATATATAATATTTAATAATATATAATATATGAATAACATCAATCATAAAATATAGAAATTGTATAGAAATAGTAAATATAATATTTAGAATCCTTTAAGACTTTATAAATATATATTCTATAATATTTAATAGTATGTAATATATAAATAACATAAATTATAAAATATAGAAATTATATAAGAATTAATGAATACAGTATTTAGAATACTTTAAGATTTTATGAAGTCCTAAAAAGAAACCCCAAACCTCGGGTGCCTCTTGCTGTGTTTCAGCACTCAGACACCCCTGAGCCTTTCCTCTGCTAGGTTGAAAGGGCAGAAGAGGCCTTGGTGCCTTCCCTTGGTGCTCGCTTCTCGTTGCCTTCCTCTTAGATCCCACCCGCTTGTTCCTTGCCTCCTGTGACAGGAGCTCACCAGGCAGAGCAGGAGAGGAGAGGCCCTTTGGTTTCTTCTCTTTGAATGGAGCTTCTTCAGCCATTTAGGTCTGGCTCTGTGGTCCTGGAGGGGTGGTTCAACCAAAGGAGCATCGCATTAGGAGGGGGACTGTGAACTTCAGCTTGCCCCCAGTGCAAGGCAAGGTGCCTGTTCCTGCTTAAAGGGAAGATGTGTTTGAAGTTCCAGTGTTTCTTTGGCTGGAGAGAGGTGATGCAGAGTCCTTCAGACCACGCTTCCTGATGTTGCTCCTGCAGAATCCTTTCATATCAGCATGGAATGGGTTGGGTTGGAAAGGACCTTGAGCTCATCCAGCTCACACTAAACCAGGGCACCCAAGGCTCTGTCTAAGATCTGCTCATTAAATGGTTTTCCTGCAGGTTGGAAGCACGTTTACTCCCTGGCTAATAAATCATCAGGTGCTGCTTTTATGAATTCCCCCTTGCCTGTGCTCTGTGACATGGAAAACTCTTCCTTCACCCCAAAACTATGCAGCTGGTTTCAGCTAAACATGTGCTGGTGTTGAAAGAGCTTGTAACTGTATAAAATGATGAAACCCCACTGCAGTCTCCATCTTCGGTGCTGAGGACTTGCAGGTTGGAGTTCTCCATTGGCACTGTCTGGTGGAGGGTGTTCACAGGCAGCTATTCCAATGGGAAAGCCATGGGTTTCCAGGTAAAGGGGCTATTTTAACAGGGTAGAAGCGTGTTGAGTCTTCTTGTGTGAGTCACACAAGGCCAGAGCGTGCATTGCACCCTCCTTTACTCACTGGAGGATGAGATGCAGTCCTCATTAACACCTTGTTACAATCACTTGCTAACCCTTAATACCTTATTAATACCCTTTCACTGAATCAGTAGGTGTTCGGTTAATGATTAGCCCAATATTACAGAGGAAGCAGAGATGAAGGAAACCTGAGCATCAAGTTTACCATGGGAGATGCTTTACGTTTGATTCCTGTAAGCAGGACTTCATGCCTCAGAAAGAGCAGCAAAACCCTTTGTGCTTTGCCCCTGCTTTGTTTCCTTTGGGTGGTTTCATATCTGTTGGTTTCATTGTCTCTTGCAGTTGATTTTGCTGCTGTTTCGAGTCCTTCCTGGGACGAGAAGGCAGAGCAAACCAGTAAGAGAGGGGAAGGCAGCGTGTGGTTTAGCACTACAGAAATGAATGGGGTGTTTCTGTCGCACTGGTAATGTATGTTCGTTTCTGCTGTTGGCTGGATTTCAGTTTGACAATGCCCTGTTTACTTGTGACACTTGCCAGGTCTCCCTTTGCAGGGGTGCAAAAGGTAATTGTCCTTCATAAGAAGCTAAAGCAGCTTAGAGGGGATGTGGAGTCCTGTCCCTTCTTCATGCTTGTTGTTGGTTCTGCTCTTTATCCTTTATAGCTTCAGTATGTTTAAATGATAGGCTGAGAGAGCTGGGCTGGGGCAGCCTGGAGAAGAGAAGGCTCCTGAAGGGGAGACCTTAGAGCAGCTCCAGTGCCTAAAGGGGCTGCAGGGAACCTGGAGAGGGGCTTGGGACAAGGGATGCAGGGACAGGCCAAGGGGAATGGCTTGAACCTGCCCGAGGGGAGACTGAGCTGAGCTCTTAGGCAGAAGCTCTTCCCTGTGAGGGTGCTGAGGCGCTGGCACAGGGTGCCCAGAGAAGCTGTGGCTGCCCCATCCCTGGCAGTGCTCAAGGCCAGGTTGGACACAGGGGCTTGGAGCAAGCTGCTCCAGTGGAAGGGGTCCCTGCCCATGGCAGGGGTTGAAGCTGGAGGAGCTTTAAGCTCCCTTCAACCCAAACCAGCCTGGGGTTGTGTGGAATTACTTCAGATCTCAATTCCCATTCCTTAACAAATAATGAATGAATAAAAAGCCCCAATCAGATTTCCTGATGTTCAGGTGGGCTCTGCAGCAGCTGGAAAAAGCAGCTGCTGGAATCACATCGCTCCCCTCTGCATGGAGCTGGGTGTCAGGCTCTGATTCACGCTCCTGACCGTGCAGAGGGGAATGTGCTATTGCATTAGCACCAGCAGCAATGTGATAATCTGAGCCAAGGCACTGGGGATAGTTTTGATTAAGCTGAGGGATTCCAGAAGCTGGGAACAGCTGAAGCACTGCCTGACTCCTGTGAGCTCTTATCACAGAGTGAAGCCTTCATTTCTGCTATGGACAGACTGGTTTATGTGCATGTTGGGCAGCTGGATCATGTGCTGGAGGACGTTTGTTCCATGCTATAAGGGTTATGGCTTCGTGTGTCACCCAGCCATCAGTTTTCCCTCCACAGAGTTCTGGATTAGTAACTTCCTAGAGTGGGGGTTGAGTGAGGATTGCAAGAGCAAGGTCCTGGTCTTGGTGTCCGTTGACTTTTTCCCCCCCGAGTCGACGTCAGGCGGCGAGAGCTGTGGTTGAGCTCAGTAGGGAAAAAGCAATGACTCACATTTCCACAGAAAGAGCTGTAATTTCCAGTCTCATAGCAACTGTCCCTTCAACAGCTTCAAACCTCCTGTGACAGAGCGTTGAACACTCACCCATCATCTCGTAATGCTCTAGGCTGGTCCACCCCCTCCGCCAGCCCAAAGCATGCGTTCGACATCCCCGAATCCCCCAATATCAGAGGGGGGGGTGATGCCAAGATGTTGAACAGGTAAATATAAAGTCATTGGAATGACAGAAATGTGACTGGATTGCATGGAGACCCAGTGACTTCTGCAGGGTTTAAAACTCAAACCTGTGGGCTCTCTGCTTTGACTGGAATCCCTGCTCTGGCTTTGCACACCTTCAGATGGTTTCAGATAGGTTTGACTGGTAGCTTGGATAACATATTTTGGGGAACTCTTTTTCTTACAGCAAGGCAGTCTTTAGTAGCAATCCTTTACCTCGGTTGTCTTCCTAAACCTCATGACTTGACTTTATTTTTAGGAAGAAAACAGGAAATTCAGTCAATACATGTGACAGCAGATGGCTGCCCCAGTGCTGACAGAGCCTTGGATGCAGGTGGTAGTCAGGGGAACACGGTTCCCTGTTCCAAGCAGGGATTTGTGCTGCTCTGAGGCCTCAGGGCGAGTCCATGGAAAGGACCCACCGTGGCCTTCCCCTCGTGCTCCCAGGAGAACATGAAATGCTCTGGGTGTCACAGGGGAAGTGACAAAGATGCCCCAATCTGACTCAAAGCTTTATGCACGGAGAGCCTATAAAGTACCCCTGGAAGCTGGGCACCCATCTGATGTTCACGTTTCTCATGAACTGAATTTAACCCCTTGCTTTTCTTGCAGTTGATTATGGAAGAGGTGCACAAGAGCAGCAGTAACAGTTCAGTGTCGCCTTCGCAAACGTCAGCTGTACAAGGTACAACACTACAGGCAGCTCAGCTCTCTCATATTGCTCAACAGGTAAAGCCTGGGCCAAATCTCAGCACACCTTTGAGGTAGCTAAGAGCCGTTTTTTAGGTACTACAAACTGTAGTGATTCTTGACTTCTAGAAACACACAGAGAAGAAAGAACAAAAGAAAGTTGAGAGAAATGGATCTGGTTGTTGATGGATGACCCCAAATGGCTTGTACTCAAAAGGCCAAAATGAAGCGTGCTTGTACAAAATGAATTGTGCGTCCTTTGAGAGCGTTGTTGACCCAACAGAAGGGAGCAGCTCAGTGATGAATCGAGGATCTGATTTTCATTTCTTTCTGAAGCAGTATTTATAGCTCTTTTTGTAGTAATGGCAATCCTGGGTGCTCAGCACCATGGAAACACTTGGATTTTAGCCTAACATGAATACATTTCATGCAATAAATCTCACAAAGTCGGAAATATGACATAAAAGTAACTTCACTTTCAAAGCTTTAACCTGAATTCCTCCTGATTCCACTTTCTGCATTGGAAAGAGCATCTCTGTAGAGGCACTCTGCTCCCAGCCCTGAGGAACACTTTTCAGCTCATCCCCTGGTCACCCTGTGGAGGCAGTTTGGATTTTGATGCAGGATTTAGGTACTTTCCAAGGCAAAGACAGGGTAGAATACCAGCAAGCATCCTGTTGTTTGCTCCAAGGCTGGTTTTCTGCTCTGCTTTTATATAAAGGTGCCAGTGTGTAGCTTAATGGTACAAAAAGTAATATTAAATGGACAGTTAGCAGTGTGAGTTGTAATGACCCCTTCATCTTGTCCTCTATTTCAGATTAATAAAAGTAGTGAAGACAGTGAGGAAAAGGGCTGTTCATTCATGCATCTGCATGTATGAGCTTGAATCAGTTTTTTAAGTGCAAAGTTCAACATCAGAAATGCAAATCTGGAATGGAAGAAGCATGTTCTATAGGGGTAGCAGTAACGTTCAGCTTCTTTTTGCCAGTTAAACCTAGATGTCAGCCACAGCATTTATTGAAATGGGTAGTTTTAAACCATGAAAGAGCAGATGCTGTTGGTGTGATTTGCAAAACCCTGCTCTTTGTTCTTCCTTGTCCAGAGCCTGCACACCTTATCTCCTCCAGTTGCCTTTTATCTTCCTTTAGTTACAGCCCTTGTGCCTTGAACTTTCTAAGTAGCTGGGTCAGCTTTTGCTATGCTTCACTCTTGTGAGCTCTTCAGTGTGAAATCTTTGAACCATGGCCTCGTACTGCTTGCTTTAAAAACAGTAACTCCAAGACCACCAAATCTGTGCTTTATTCAGGCTGCCTTCTGCATCACTGGAGTGCTGTAAGTCTGACCTGTCCTAAGCTCTCAGTCTTGTGGGTCGTTTCACCTCCATTTAGGTTTTAGTGCCCTGAATTCCCATTAACTTTCGTGAGAATGAAGGCTACTTTTGTTCCTGCGTGTCTAAGTTGTGGTTCATTTACAACTGCACATATTAAAAGCTGCAGCATTTGAATCATCTGCACATAATGCTGTGTGTTTGATTTCCCCCCTAAGGCAGATGTGTAACTGATGAAACAGCCTTTTTTGTATGCAGATACCTATCTCAGAAATGTGCATCTTTAAAGGATATCTTTATGACTTAATTAGACTTGAAAGAAGCTTCTGCTAATGCATGTTCTCCCCTGGTTTTCCTACATGTAGATGCACTTTGTGAATCCTGTGGCCCAATGATTCTTTGCTTTGTTGTAGATGTCTCTAAGAGGTCCTGCACCCTTGACAGTCGTTCAGCTTCCTGGAGAGCAAGTCCAGGTCCAGGGAGTCATTCAGACAGCTCAGTCCTCTTCTGTAATCCACTCACCTCAGGTGCAAACAGTGCAGGTAGGTACAGAATGTCTGTTAAATAACCAAGAATCCTGTTTTCTGTAGGTGAGAGGACTTGTAAAGGCTTGTCTGCCTTGGCTGGCTCTGCCACGGTGCAGCCTGGCTGGCTCTACTGTAAGAGGCAGTGAGTAAGCAAGTGACAGAATTTAGGGGATATGTTGTTCTTAATGATTTCTTAAGGCCTGAAATGACTTGTGATGCTAAAATTGCCTTTGGAGTGGAAATGAAACTATTTGACATTGCCTCCCTTCGTAAAAAAACCCCAAAACAAACCCACAATGCTGTACTTGGTTCTCTTAACAGGCATTGCAACCAGTGTGTTGTAATACCCAAGCTGGAGAGTGTGGAATGACCCAGGGAGTTAAACTGTGTGTTAGGAAAAGGGGGACCTGAATGGTGGTGCCTGAGCTGGTGCTTGCTGTACACTTGAACTCCCTTTCTGTGGTACTGAAGATTCTGCTTGTTTCTCTTGCTCTTGTGCCTTGGGGAGTTCACAGTCGAGTTTGTTACTGCTTCATTCAGTTCTTGGCTGCAGAGAGCCCTCAGGACAGCCCAGCACTGGAGTTAAACTGTGCAGTAAGTGCACTGCTCAGCCAAATGCCTGCAAGAACTGGGCTAAAAGGCATTAATTCGTCCCTGATCCTTTTGTACTGTGCTTATCTCTTTGTACAACATTAAAGTGATAAACCATGGAAAGGAAACCTGTAGTGCGTTTTCAGCCCTCATTGTTCCCATAACATCAGAGCATGGAAAACCCCTTCCACTGTGCTGAGAACAGCCAGATGTCCGCTGGAGTAGGTTGGGGTTCCTTGAGTCACCCCTCTCCTATCACTGTGTTCTAGTGGCAGGCTCCCCATTGACTGAACTTTCCTTTCTTTCCCTGCCATTTATGAGCACTTTGACCTTGTTGCCCAAAGGTGGGGAGGAAAAACAGCTCTCTTGAATCGCTGATGGGAGCTTGCTCTTGCCTCTGTAGCAGCAGCTGAGGGTTGCTTTTCCCAGAGCTGTTTGCATTCTTCCTGTCTTGTTGTTGCTGACACACACATAAGTACAAGTAAATGTTTTGTTGGCTTGTATTTAATAAGGAGCATCAGAGAAAAGAGAGCTCTTGCCAGCTGGCCGAGGACGCAGTGGAGTAAAGAGAAAACCATAGATAACACTTTGCACTTTTACTCCCTGCTGCCTTAAATAGTCTTTTCAGTTGACTCTTACATTCCGAGCAGCAAAATGCACTGCTCTTGTGTCTACACAGAGGTTTCAGGCACCTTACATGTTTGTCTCCATACATAAATGCTGTTCTTTCCTTTCCCACCAGCGCCTCAGACAAATTGATGTGTGGGAGTGGCTCACCTATTCATCAGCTGATAAGATAGTTTGGCTTGTATGATGTGTATGGAAAGAAACCATTCCTGTTTCTTCACTCTGCTCTTTGCAGAGTGGCTTGATTAATCCCACAGTTTGATCCAGCTAAAACAGTTGCCTTCAAATAGTGGGCGTTTACCAGCTTTTAATGGGATAAAAGAGTTTGGGAGCTTTCTTTTTGGGGAGGAGGAGAGGGGATTTGTGTCATCAGGACCTTGCTAACAGTCTGTGATAATTGCTACAAATAGTCCAAAACACTGAAACTAGAAATCCCCTTTTTCTTTTTGGTTTCTGTCTTTGTAATCAGCTGCAGTTGTGTCGTTTTCAAGCAGCTTTAGCTCGTACACAAGTACAGTGTGTAACCTCAGGCGGGGGTTTCAGTTGCAGTGTGCCAGATAACCCCATTTCATGTACTTTTTAGGTCTCTTCTTTGTCTGAGAGTGAAGATTCTCAAGATTCATCAGATAGCATAGGCTCCTCACAGAAAGCTCGAGGCATCTTAGCTCGTCGTCCTTCATACCGGTAAGTACAGCAGGGAGTAGCTTTTGTACCTTTTATTTGAGACCAAACTAGCAACTTCTTTCAGTAGCTTCCTATATTCTGTTTTCTTTCTCTTGCAACATGCCCTGGACCTGTTGCATGCAGTAGACCTTTGGGGGATGCTCCCCAGTCCTGCTACTGCCACTGCTTTTCAGTTCTTGAATGTTTTCTTTGCTCTTCTTAATGCTTTCTGATGCTTTGGTCTCCTTTTCAGCTATGCATCGAGACAAATGATTTCAGAGGGATTTGATTATTTTGCCTGCAGTCAGAAACAGTGAGGGAAAGAGCAATTCTGACTCCTCAGGATAGGAAACCAGGAGCTGTAAGCACTGCTTCTGAAGGAGAGCTGATTACACTGCAGGTTTGGGATCAGGAGTTCTCAGTTCTGCTTTTCTCTTCATGGAACTGCCACTAAACCATGATTTGGCCCAGGGTAAAACACGTAAAATTCACACTTCCCTTGGTGGCTCTTTTAAAGGGAGATGTGTCTGTTTTCATAGGGTCTTGTTACACAGGACAGGGGTTGTGTGAGGAGCTGTGCAAGAGCTGCATTAAATGGAGGGAGAAGTAAAGTTACTGTGTACTGACAGAGCAGAAGATTAAACTTTTCTGTAGTAATCTACCCTTTTTAGCTTATTCTGACACCAGACAGAGCAAACTGGGTTTAACTGGATACAGAAAGCCTATTCTTGAGAGACATAAAGAGCAAGTTGTAAATCAGAAGATACCTCTCAACAGCCCACTTATATACCCCTGGAAAAGGTTTATGGTGGAAACTGTGATGCAGCTTTCCCTCCAGTGCCATGATGCAGCTGCAGTGCTGGTTTTCAGCACCCAGCTTTCTGGAGGTGACTGAAATGTGCTGTAAAGGGGGCAGGTTTGTAATCGTGCAGTGATTTTTTTCCCTAGATTTAGAACTGAGAAACTTCTCTTTCATAGGAAAATCCTGAAGGATCTTTCTTCTGAAGATACACGTGACAGGAAAGGAGATGAGGAGAGTCCTGGTGTCTCTACTGTTACATCTATGTCTGTTCCCACACCCATCTACCAGACAAGCACTGGACAGTACAGTAAGCTACACAAAATATGTGCCTAACTGGACACATTCTATTCAGCTTGCTTCAAAATACAGATTCTCTTGTTGGTATATATTTGAGCAATATGAAACTCAAAAGGTTTGGTTATTTGTTTAACAGTTAGTATTGTGAATGGAAACAGACTGGTATCTCAAGGCTCCACATAAACTCAGGGCTTTATCTTTTCTTTTTTGCTCATTAAGGCATTCAGAGGATGTTGTTATGAAATACATGGCAGTGTTCTAGTGTTAGAGCTAGTCCCAAACCTAAGATAAGTGAAGATACCATTATATATATCACAAGGCCACAACAAACGCTGTTCCTGTGCTATCAGTAAGGTAGCAATTTGTTCCTTTGATCACATTGCCAAGGCAACTGGAGCACGTCCTCTCCATCCCTGATGCTCCTCCAGCTCCAACCCCTGCCACAGGCAGGGACCCCTTCTACTGGAGCAGGGTGCTCCAAGCCCCTGTGTCCAACCTGGCCTTGAGCACTGCCAGGGATGGGGCAGCCACAGCTTCTCTGGGCACCCTGTGCCAGCGCCTCAGCACCCTCACAGGGAAGAGCTTCTGCCTAAGAGCTCAGCTCAGTCTCCCCTCGGGCAGGTTCAGGCCATTCCCCTTGGCCTGTCCCTACAGGCCCTTGTCCCAAGCCCCTCTCCAGGTTTCCTGCAGCCCCTTTAGCTGCTCTGAGGTCTCCCCTTCAGGAGCTTTCTCTTCTCCAGGCTGCCCTGCCTTTGTATTTCATCCTGTACAAAGATTGCTGAGCGTGTTCCTTTCCCTTTAAGTTGCCATTGCTGCCAATGGCTTGCAGCTGGCCAGCCCGGGCGCTGACGGCGTGCAGGGTCTGCAGACACTGACGATGGCCAATGCTGGTGGTGCTCAGCCTGGCACGACGATACTGCAGTACGCACAGACATCGGATGGTCAACAGATCCTTGTCCCCAGCAACCAGGTGGTAGTGCAGAGTGAGTACCGCTTCTGGACGCAGCGTGATGGTAGCACAGATGCAAGTCTGACCCTGCCACGTTCTGATGTCCTGCGCTGTTCTCCCAACAGCTGCCTCAGGGGACATGCAGACCTACCAGATCCGCACCACCCCGACCACCACCTCCCTGCCCCAGACCGTGGTGATGACATCTCCTGTCACCCTGACGTCGCAGACGAGTAAGACGGATGACCCACAGTTGAAACGAGAGATACGGCTGATGAAGAACAGGTAGGGAGCTGCACGTGGGCTGCTGTGGTTTGGCATTTCATGTCCTGAAAGGCATCCTTAAAGGGCAAACTGCGTCCTGCAAAGTAACGTTACTGATTGTGCCGTCACTGAAGAGTGAATTGTACCCTGAAAAGTGGGGAATTCAGGCCAAAACATGCCCCGTGTTCTGTCCTACACAGCTTGGAGAAAACAAGTTGGGTTTTCCCTGCAGATTGGCTGCCACAAGTGACACCGATTTCATGCAGTCTACCTATAGAATAGAATCATAGAATTATAGACTCATGGAATGGGTTGGGTTGGAAAGGACCTGAAGCTCATCCAGTTCCAACCCCCTGCCATGGGCAGGGACACCTCGCACTAAACCAGGGCACCCAAGGCTCTGTCCAACCTGGCCTTGAGCACTGCCAGGGATGGAGCATTCACAACCTCCCTGGGCAACCCATTCCAGTGCCTCAGCACCCTCACAGGAAAGAACTTCTTCCTTAGATCCAATCTAAACTTCCCCTGTTTCAGATTGAACCCATTACCCCTTGTCCTGTCACTGCAGTCCCTAATGAAGAGTCCCTCCCCAGCATCCCTATAGCCCCCTTCAGACACTGGAAGCTGCTCTGAGGTCTCCACGCAGCCTTCTCTTCTCCAGGCTGAACATCCCCAACTTTCTCAGCCTGTCTCCGTACAGGAGGTGCTCCAGTCCCTGCTCATCCTCGTGGCCTCCTCTGGACTTGTTCCAACAGTTCCATGTCCTTTTTATGCTGAGGACACGAGAACTGCACCCAATGCTCCAAGTGAGGTCTCACGAGAACAGAGGAGAGGGGCAGGATCACCTCCTTGGACCTGCTGGTCACACTCCTTTTGATGCAACCCAGGGTACATCCACCTTCCAGCCCATGCTGTTCACGATGACACTGCCAGCTCCCTCCTCCCATAGCAGTCAGCGTCTTCGCATGCAGGAAGCAGAAACATCCCAGCTCTAAACTCAGCAATCCCTTTGCTTGTGTGTTCCAGAGAAGCTGCTCGGGAATGCCGTAGAAAGAAGAAGGAGTACGTGAAATGCCTGGAAAATCGAGTTGCGGTCCTGGAAAACCAGAACAAAACTCTCATTGAAGAGTTAAAAACTTTGAAAGATCTTTACTGTCATAAAAGCGTGTAAGAAAAGGAGGTGAAACTTTGGACTCTTTACATTTCAGAGGAGAAATTCTTTTTTTTATACGGGATTTTTTAACCTCTAGACAAAAGGTCAACAATTGGAACTTTTCTACCTAGATTTCACAGCTTAAAGACTCTCGAGATTTTATTTGGTGACAAAGTACAAGAAAGGCAACGGGAAAACCTCACCCAAAATTCCTGCTGGCACAACTGGAAACATTCTAAAGTCACGATTGCACCGACAGTAAAGGACGGTCCCGTTTTACAGGGCAGGCGGTTAGAGTTTCTTCCCATACCTCTTGTCACGGAGGCAATAGGCGGTTACAGTTAAAACATGGATGACGTGGAATCCTTGCCATAGTGGACGTTAGTAGAAACATTTATAACCAGGTTATGTTTTGATTTCTTACTCTTTTACTCTTTCCCAGTTCTTTTGCTTTCGGTTCTTTGTATGTAAATAGGTTTGGTTTAAGCTGGCAGTTGTTCGTTACAGGCGCAGACGCTAACCAGGAGCTCCTACTTTGCTCGAGGTATCAATCCCGTTTCCTCTTTCTCAGCTGAGTTACAGAAGTTGGGGTTTTTCTTTTCAACGTTTGCTGTGTTGATCACATTTGGGAAGGAGCTGTAGCAAGCAGCCAGAGGCCGAGTCCTGACGATGTCCAAGGCATGTGAAAGGTGTTGGCTTTCCCTAAGGAGACCTCAACACCATCCAGTTATTCCCTAGTGCAGCGTGGAAGAGCAAGTGCTGGTGAGGAAGAGCTTCTGGAGAGTGATTTCACAATAGGTTGCTCTTAGTTGCTGGGCATGGGAAACACCTAGAATTGAGAAACAGCCACGTGCTGCCTATCAATACAGTGCTTCCGTCTGGAGGCTCTTCTGTGCTTTGGAACATTGAAACCAAATGCTAAAACACACAAGTGGAAGATGTATACCAAAGGGTTACTGAGGTTCTAATATAGGGTTTCTATGCTGAAAGCAGTGCAACATTGCCGGGCTGATTTTGTAAGGTAGGTGATATTTTGCAGAGCAATGGTATCTTTGTAAGCAAATACTCTATTGCAAACAGGTAGATGGGTGGTATATTTTGTAGCTAAATTGTGATCTTTCCAGATGCTGAAATTGAGTTTATATACGTATTTTGACAGTTTCTATATTTCATTTTAGTAAGCAAATGAAATATTTTGTGAAGAAGCAGATTTTCAAGCATATATTTTTATGGATAGTACAAAGTCAAAGGAGATCCTCTTTGGTGTAGGAGATATTTGAATTAATTTTGTATGTCTGTAGGCAACTTGCAAAAAAAGAAAAACTAAAAAAAGGGATCCTAGGGAATATTGGGAAAACAAAAAGAGGAAGAAAAAGACCCCAAGAGATCAGGGCTTTTGATTCCCCACAGTTGCTGATATCTGCACGTTCGATCTGGTTGTTGTCAGAGATTCCAGTTGGATTTTCATCGGTTCCAGGTGGCAATGAAGTGCTTGACATGATCAGGACTCTCTTGGGGGTGGAATCTCCATTCGTGGAGGTACCCAAAAGCTGCCTGGCCGAGGTCCTGGGCCGCCGGCTCGAGCAGGGGGTGGGAGCCAGCAGCCTCCCGAGGTGCCGTCCCACCTCCCCTCTCCTGTGATCCTGTGAGATGTGTGTGCAGTGCTTATTGCATGACCAATAACTACACTGTTTTCCATAGTTAGGATCGAATCCTGCTTCCAGTTCCGTCAGCGGGAATTGCACTATGGACTATGCTGTTCAAAAGGTGTTAGAGCTCCGTGTGCGTGTGTTGTGCTAGCTCCGAGCTGAACGCAGCCCAGAGGCCTGCTCGCTCCCCAGCTGTGTACTGCTTCTCATACGGTCAGTCAGTGTGTTTTATTTGCCTCATCTTGGGATTCATGGACTTCTTGGCAAGCAGAGCTCTTTGCAAGAGGGATGGGGAAGACAGCATTCCACAATCATGGTGTTAGTGAGCTATAAAGCCACCTTTCTCTCTGCAGTTCGTAACTGGGGGATTGTTATGGTCATTTCCTTTAGGCCAAACTGGAGAGCCCGTTTCTGTTCATGATCATGTCAGAAAAGGGGGTGCTTTCATTGCACATCAGGAAAGAGTGAGCAGGGTGGAGGTGTTCATAGGGAGCTGCTCCAAAAGGAGGTGTTCAGTGCCTCCTGGTTCTGTAAGTGGGATTTCAGGAAGAAGGAAGCCATGGGACGTGCTTGGCACCTCTGGGAACCAGACCCTCTCGCTCCATCCCCCATCAGGTCTGTGTGTATGGTGAAGAGGGTTTGACCTACAGTACTGCAGCCAATTTGGGAACTCCTGTGTATGGTTTGTGATCCTCACCGTGTGCTGTTGTTCCTTGACCTTCTTTTGTAATACAGGATAACAAGAGTAATTAAAGCTATCAAGTATTAAGACTGTAACAGAATGGTGGCCCATTCTTTCTGTGTTCAGCAAGTAAAACCTGTCATGCTGCCAGACATCACGTTAGTACCTTTTTATCCTCTTAAAACAAGTGGGTTTTGGAAAGAGCAGCTGATTTTTCATCATGGAAGTGTTAAACAGTAACATGAGTTTGCTCTTCGAGTCATCACTTACTAAGTACTTACTTTGGATTTACTTCACAGTCTAGATTGTAAGAGAGTAAAGTCTGTATCCTGAGAGGAAGAGCTGTAGTACCTAGTACCGTGCTGGTTATTTCCAAGCAGAAGTCCATTACATGCTTTCTCTGAATTGTACATATTTGTTGAAGCAATTAGATGGTTGCAGATTTTGACCTTGGTAAATAAAGTCGCCAAAACCTGATCCCTGATGGTCCCGATTGATTCTTCATGAGCGTAGCCCTGAGCAAGCACTCATGCGTTGGGTGCCCTCGGGTCCTTCAGTGGCCAAGCAGCACCAGCACCCAAGAGCTGTGGCACCCAGTGCTCGGAGAACGAAGTCACTTGTGCATAAATGGCAGTGATCACTAAAAGTAATGAAGGGGAGAAACCTTTTTCTCTCCCTGCAGGTTCTTTTTCCCCTTTGCTTTTCAGCTGTGAGGCACGGTTCTGCTCTGCCTGCATTCACCCAGCAGAGGGGGCAGCTGCCTTCTACAAAATGCGTGGTAGGCATCGCTAACGCTTAAGTTTTGATGGCTGGAAAAGCATAGAGAAAAGGTAAGAAAGAAGTATTATCGGTAACATTTCTGTATTCAGCTTCATTATCAGGGTTAAGGCTGTTACCAATCCCTGTACTGGTAATACGGGCATCAAAAGCAGAAAGGAAAGCACTGCTACAAGTGCAAACACGGCTTGGAAAGCTCACTGTGTGTCCCTTGGCTCTCAGGTTTATTCTGAAGCAGGGGCTAGGGCTCTTCCCAAAGGTTTACCAGGCACACCGAGCCTCTGCAGCGATGACCCGGTGGTTTGTCCCCTCAGAGACTCCACACAAGCACTGTGGGTGTCAGGCTCAGAAGGATGGGGAGTGGAGCCCTCATGGGGCTCACAGCCTTGTTATTCAGCTCCAGTTCTGCTTGTATCCATCTTCTGTATCGAGACAAACGGACGTAGACCCCAGGGAATCGTGGTCGGCCACAGCCGACTCCAAAGCTGGCGATCCCCACGAGGTAGTATCTGTTGGTAGGGGGGTGATAGCATGCCAAGGGTCCTCCACTGTCTCCCTGTAGAGAAACAGAAACCCCACTAGTAAAGATACCCCCTTCCAGGAAAGGATGCAGACTAAGGTCAGTAAAACATCAGCTAAGTTAACTGGTGAGTAATAACGATGCTAATACGTGGGTAGCACAACGCAGACCAGATCTGGTGACACCCCTGTGACCAGAACACCAAACCTGCATTAATTTCAGTGTCCTTAACTAAAGGTTGGTTGGTTTCCTTGCTGCACCTTTTCCTTCTAAGGCTTTTCTCCCTGAACACGTTGGATAAACCTGCGTGTGTTCTTTATCTTCTTACTTTGTTATCCATCACTGAGTGTGGGTTTGAGATGTGCATCAGCTTAGGAATCACCATCTCATGCTTTTATTCCTGATGCTTCTCTTGCCCTTTGACATGTTTTCTGCTTCATATTTGTGCCATTTTAATGAATGATGCTACAAATGCTGGTCATCACCGTGCCCCTGATGCTCTGCCTTGGGGGGTTCCATAGTGGCAGCTTGGGTGTAATGTTCCTTCTTACCTGGCAGGTATCGGGGCCTCCCCATAGAGAGCCAGCGCAGATCATGTTGTCGTTAACCAGCCCCCCGTAGGCATCAGAGCTGTTACAGACATTGGAAGGGATGATTTCCACTTGTGCTTCTTGTAACACGGCTGAAATTTTACCTTCAGTGCAAGACAGCATATAGAAAGGTGAAATATTCATGCTACAGCAGTTCCTACTGTGCTGCCCCTGCCCCGATCAGGCTTTAGCTCATTCCTGCATGTGCTTAGGTGGCTAACACAGAGATTGTGCCTGCTTCTAACAGAGGCAAACTTCAGTGGGTTAAAGGTGGGCAGGCTTCAGAGGTGATGCAGTGTTTGTGCTGGCCCCTCTGCTCACTCGCCTTGCTCAGAGGCTTCAGGGTTGTTGGTTTGCAATAGCTCTAAACCATGGGCGAAGCCTTGGGTGCCCTGGTTTAGTGTGAGGTGTCCCTGCCCATGGAACTGTGTATGGAACTGGACGAGCTTCAGGTCCTTTCCAACCCAACCCATTCCATGAGTCTATGATTCTAATAAGAAAGCTCTTTCTGCAGACAGCGCTGAGAACCTGTGAATGTGAATCTGAAGTCAGGTGAGTTCCCTTTCCTGTGTTCAGGTGTGTTTCAGCAGGTCCAAGGAGGGGATCCTGCCCCTCTGCTCTGCTCTCATGAGACCTCACTTGGAGCATTGTATGCAGTTCTGGTGTCCTCAGCATAAAAAGGACATGGAACTGTTGGAACAAGTCCAGAGGAGGCCACGAGGATGAGCAGGGACTGGAGCACCTCCTGTATGGAGACAGGCTGAGAAAGTTGGGGCTGTTCAGCCTGGAGCTGCGTGGAGACCTCAGAGCAGCTTCCAGTGTCTGAAGGGGCCTATAGGGATGCTGGGGAGGGACTCTTCATTAGGGACTGTAGTGGTAGGACAAGGGGTAATGGGTTCAAACTGAAACAGGGGAAGTTTAGATTGGATCTAAGGAGGAAATTCTTTCCTGTGAGGGTGCTGAGGCACTGGAATGGGTGCCCAGGGAGGTTGTGAATGCTCCATCCCTGGCAGTGTTCAAGGCCAGGTTGGACAGAGCCTTGGGTGACCTGGTTTAGTGTGAGGTGTCCCTGCCCATGGCAGGGGGTTGGAACTGGATGAGCTTCAGGTCCTTTCCAACCCAACCCATTCCATGCTGATATGAAAGGATTCTGCAGGAGCAGCATCAGGAAGCGTGGTCTGAAGGACTCTGCATCCCCTCTCTCCAGCCAAAGAAACACTGGAACTTCAAACACATCTTCCCTTTAAGCAGGAACTTCAAACACATCTCCCCTGATCCCCCGCTCAGCACCACAAAGCCCGTCCTTACCTTGCTCTCTCTTGCGTCCCCAGCCGCTGATGAAGCACTGGGTTCCGCTGTGGCTGAGTGGCTCCAGGTGTGCCGGCGCCAGGCAGATGGGCTGGATGGCGCTGCCGTAGCGCACCGCAGAGCCGAGCTCCAGCACGGCCACGTCGTTCTCAAACGTGTCTCTCCTGAAGCCTGGGTGCACCACGATGCTCCTGAGGTACCTCCGGGCGCTGTGGGCACCGGGCTGCCCAAGGTTGTGCACCCCCAAAACAGCCCGCCAGGTGGATGGCTTCCTAATGGGGAGTCAATGCAGGTTTGGTGATTCAGGTCCAGTAAATCCATCCTTTGTGTCATTTAACTGATTAACTTACTGTTGGCTCATGCACCTTTAGGAATGTACACTGGAAACCCTGCAGGAGCTATGACCTGGAAGGAATTCGGCTGAGCACCCTTCTGCGAGGCTCAAGCACTCAGTTTCCTATTGCTGGTTATGGCTCTTAAGGCAAATCCAGCTCAGTGGTTTAAGCAGATGCTCAAATGTTGCTTCCCACCCCATCTCAGCAGGGATTTTCCTTTGGGAAAGGTAAAAACACGGATTTATGTGGCAGAAGGGAAGTTGGGTTAAAGCCACGATGCTTACAAAGAGCATGCTTGTACCTAGACTGGGGGAACTCATTCACTAGAGTTACAAATAATGAATATTTGTATTAAATATATATATACTTGAACATAAATGTATATATGAACATAAATGTATATATTAACATATATATATGAACATAAATATATATGGACATATGGATATTTAATATAGATTAAATTTGTTAATATATTCATATATTGAATATATTATTTATATGAATAGAATGTGAATGAATAGGAATTGAATAGTTTCATTCTAGTGAATGAAACTCATTCACTAGAAATTAGAAAGAATATTTGTATTAAATATATAGATGAACATAAATATATAGATGAACATAAATATATCGATAGGCTGAGAAAGTTGGGGCTGTTCAGCCTGGAGCTGCGTGGAGAACTCATAGCAGCCTCCCAGTATCTGAAGGGGGCTATAGGGATGCTGGGGAGGGACTCTCCATTAGGGACTGTAGTGACAGGACAAGGGGTAATGGGTTAAAACTGAAAAAGGGGAAGTTTAGATTGGATCTAAGGAGGAAATTCTTTGCTGTGAGGGTGGTGAGGCACTGGAATGGGTGCCCAGGGAGGTTGTGAATGCTCCATCCCTGGCAGTGTTCAAGGCCAGGTTGAACGAGGCCTTGGGTGAGATGGTTTAGTGTGAGGTGTCCCTGCCCATGGCAGGGGTTGGAACTGGATGATCTTAAGGTCCTTTCCAACCCGAACTATTCTATGATTCTATGATTAACTAATTAAATAACTAATTAACTTATTGACTAGTTCATTAGATATTTAACTATTTAAATAAATGATTAACTAATTTAACTATTAACTCATTTAATAATTAAGAAATTAAATTGTTAACTATTTAATTAAATAACTAATTAAATGACTATTTAATCGTTTTCTGTTTGTTTTGCTAGTTTACCAAAATCTCTCAAGCAGAAAAATGAGAGCTCCATGACAAAACCAGCCCCCAGCCTAACAAAACCACCACATCTAAAGCAAAGAGCCCTTCATGGCAAACACCAGAGGTTGGCCTGGACCCGGCCAGAGGTGCGTATCCAAGACTTCTTGGTCTTGACTCATAGGCTCGTGGAATGGGTTGGGTTGGAAAGGACCTTAAGATAACCCAGTTCCAACCCCCTGCCATGGGCAGGGACACCTCACACTAAACCAGGGCACCCAAGGCCTCGTCCAACCTGGCCTTGAACACTGCCAGGGATGGAGCATTCACAACCTCCCTGGGCACCCATTCCAGTGCCTCAGCACCCTCACAGGAAAGAATTCCCTCCTTAGATCCAGTCTAAACTTCCCCTGTTTCAGTTTGAACCCATTACCCCTTGTCCTGTCACTGCAGTCGCTAATGAAGAGTCCATCCCCAACATCCCCGTACCCCCCTTCAGACTGGGCTTTGCACATTGGCTCTACATTATGAGAACTCAGAACCCCATTGGTTTGCTTTTTGTCCAGGTGATGCTTTGCTCCTCTCCTGTGATACCCTCCTGCCAGTCACTCAGAAGAGGTGCCCGCAGCCCTCCTACCTGCTCCCTGCAACGCAGTGCCCGGCGGTAAGCACCGAATTCCCATTGACCAGAACTCCTCCACAAACGTGTGTGTACCAGCCGGCACCGCGGTAAAGCTGGAGGCTCACGAGCCACGGCCACGCTCCCACCGGAGCATCGTGTCCACCGACGACCCGGGATCCCCAGTGGCCTTCCAGCAGTGGCCGCTGGCCGCACGCTGTGAAGCAGAATGGGGGCAGTTACATGGTTCTGACTGGAAACCAACCTTCAGCATCCTCAGGGCTTGGGTTCGGTGATGCTTTGGGGTGGGTTTATTTGGTTGTTGGTGGTTGGTGTTTAATCTGCAGTTACTGCTGCAGGGCTGCAGATGTTTGCAGCTGGAGCCCAGCTGCTGGAGATGCTGGGGCTGTTTCCTTCGGTTGTATTTAACGCTTGTATTTCCATGATTATTCATGTATGGGCAGCCTGGTCTAGATGAAGATGTTCCTGCTCATGGGAACCTGGTCTAGATGAAGATGCTCCTGCTCATGGGAACCTGGTCTAGATGAAGATGTTCCTGCTCTTTGCAACCTGGTCTAGATGAAGATGTTCCTGCTCATGGGAACCTGGTCTAGATGAAGATGTTCCTGCTCATGGCAACCTGGTCTAGATGAAGATGTTCCTGCTCATGGGAACCTGGTCTAGATGAAGATGTTCCTGCTCATGGGAACCTGGTCTAGATGAAGATGTTCCTGCTCATGGGAACCTGGTCTAGATGAAGATGTTCCTGCTCATGGCAACCTGGTCTAGATGAAGATGTTCCTGCTTGTGGGAACCTGGTCTAGATGAAGATGTTCCTGCTCTTGGCAACCTGGTCTAGATGAAGATGTTCCTGCTCTTGGCAACCTAGTCTAGATGAAGATGTTCCTGCTCATGGCAACCTGGTCTAGATGAAGATGTTCCTGCTTATGGGAACCTGGTCCAGATGAAGATGTTCCTGCTCATGGCAGCCTGGTCTAGATGAAGGTGTCCCTGCTCATAGCAGCTTGGTCTAGATGAAGATGCCCCTGCCCATTGCAGGGAGCTGGAACTGGATGAGCTCTGAAGGTCCCTTCCCACCCAAACCCTCCTATGACTGTGATTTCCTGTGTGTGCACCTATTGTGCACACTGAGGGTGAGCAGCTTCCAGCCACCCCCGCTCCATGAATTCACCTTCTTAGGCCCAAATGAGGTTTTCCCGGTGTGTCCATAGGGAGCCACCACAACCCCTCCATCTCCTCCACCCTCCCAGCCCCTTCCACCCCTCTCCCTACACCCACTGCTCTGCAGCAAACACAGTACCATCCGGTGCATCCCTGGGCACTGTAACCACAGCCACGTCACCGACCATCACCGGCCTCAGCAGCACCAGCACCAGCACAGCCACACGCAGCTCCCACTGCATCCTCTACCGGGGAGCACCCATGGGGGCGTGGGTACCAACAGTGGTTGCTATGGCAACGGTGGTGAATCATGGAACATGTTTGATGCTGGGAGCTGGCCCCAGGGCGCTCACACAAACGGCTCCAGTACCTTCTGAGGATGGGCAGCAGCGCCTCAATCAGTGCTTGGGAGCAGGGGGAGACAGGAAGCAGCTGATCCCACTGGTGCTTGGATGCTTCCCAATGGTAGGAATCAGTTCCCCAGAGCAGAGCAGCCCCATGGTGCTGTTAACATTGGCTTATTCTGCCCTGGCACTCTCCTGCTGGGATCCTCGGGGTATCCAAGCCAAAGGATGAAGGAGGAGAGATTTGGGATGGGGAAGGTATAAAATGGGTACTTGAGGCAAAGGGAGAGCTCTGAACAAGGTGAGGATCTCCCTTTATTGGAATAAAGCTTTCAGCCTCACGAGCTCCTCAGTTGTCGAAACCAGGGCTTTCACTGCGTTACCTACATGGGATGATGGGATTAGGCAGTGCTGTGTTGGTTATAGGGATGCAGAGGAGGCCGGGCAGGGTGCCGAGCTACTTCACAGCATAGCCAATGGTGTGAGGCTGAGTGGGAGTCCAGGGCAGTGCCATGGTGGTGTGCAGGAGGTGCAGCTCCTCGAGAGCCTTCCGCATCCCCTTTGACAGGCAGCATCCATCAAAGAGGAGTTTCCAAGTGCTCGAGGATGTAGAAAGCGCTTCCCTAGGGAAAACAAAGTCACCCCAAGAGGGAAACGTCACCTCCTCTGCATCGCAGTCCCTCTTCTCCCCCCCTTCCCTGCCCCTTTGTGCCTGGGTGGTGTTCAATGGGGTTTGTGTGAGCAGGAAACCCGCAGGCGTTCAAAACGTGCCCGTTGGAGCTCTGCTCTCACAGTGGTTTCTGCTCCCTCTGGTGCTGTTCCAGTTGAGGGGGTGTCTGGTTTCCACAAGGGATCATGGAATGGGTTGGGTTGGAAAGGACCTGAAGCTCATCCAGTTCCACCCCCCTGCCATGGGCAGGGACACCTCACACTAAACCGGGGCACCCAAGGCTTTGTCCAACCTGGCCTTGAACAATGCCAGGGATGGAGCATTCACACCAAGGAAACAAAGGGAAATGTGGAAATCCCACTCAAACCCTCCGGGTTTTGGTAACACAGAGGTTTGCCTTGAAAATTCCTGTTCAAAGGCTGAAGTGTACCCCAAACCCAGCCTGTTCAAAGGCTGAAGTGTACCCCAAACCCAGCCTGTTCAAAGGCTGAAGTGTACCCCAAACCCAGCCTGTTCAAAGGCTGAAGTGTGCCCCAAACCCAGCCTGTTCAAAGGCTGAAGTGTGCCCCAAACCCAGCCTGTTCAAAGGCTGAAGTGTGCCCCAAACCCAGCCTGTTCAAAGGCTTCGGCTGCGTTGTGCTACAGGGGAACAGAGGGGTTTCAGAAGGCATGCGGGTGGCTCAGCCCGCTGCTAAAGCAGCTTATTCACTGAATAGCACCTGTATTCACTAAACAGATGAATAATAAAGACATAATACACGAAATAAATACATAATGGAATAAAGAAAATGAGATAAATACCATAAAATAAATAAATGAAAAATAAAAAATAGATAATACACTAAATAATACTTATTCAGTAGATAATACACTTATTCACCAAATAAATTAATAAGTAATACACTAAATACGTACTAAAATAAAATACATAAACAAACAACATAAAATAAATAAATTAAAAAATAAAATAAAAAATAAATAATACACTGAATAAATAATACTTATTCAGTAAATAATACACTTATTCACTAAATAAATACATACTAAAATAAAATAAGCAATATAGAGAAAATAAAATAGATTAAATAAGATGATAGACTAAATAAGTAACAATAAAATAAAAAATTAAATTTAAAATTAAAATAAATAAATAAAAATAAATAAACAAAATAAAAATAAAATAAAATAAGCTAAATAACTAATACCCTCGATAAATCCTACACTTGTTCACTAAATAAGACTCAAGAGTGGCTAAAGCAGCTTATGCCCAGTGCAGGCTTTCAGTGCATGGTGGGGATGGGGAGCAGCACAGGCACCGCTTCTGCCTTAAATCACAGCCTGGCATCACGGTCCTGATGGGCAAAATCAGGAGCGGGTCTCATCGCCAGACCCTGCTTTTTAGGGTTTTATTCCTAAGCAGAGGCCAACCACCTCAAAACCTCCTTTTTCACTGATTTCCCCCCTTTTCCCTGATTTTCCCCTTTTCCCCTTTTTTACCTGATTTGCTCCTTTTCCCCTGATTCCCTCCTTTTTCCCCGATTCCCCCCCTTTTCCCCTGATTATTTCCACTGATTTTCCCTTTCCCCTGATTTCCCCCTTTTCTCCTGATTCCCCCCCTTTTTCCCTGATTATTTCCCCTTTTTCCCTGATTTCCTCCCTTTTCCCTGATTTTTCCCCTTTTTCCCCGATTTCCCCCTTTCCCCCCTTTTCCCTGATTATTTCCCCTGATTTTCCCTGATTTCCCCCCTTTTTCCCTGATTTTCCCCTTTTCCCCTGATTCCCCCCTTTTTTACCTGATTTTCTTCCTTTTTCCCTGATTCTCTCCTTTTTCCCCGATTTCCCCCCTTTTTCCCTGATTATTTCCCCTGATTTTCCCTGATTTCCCCCGATTCCCCCTTTTCCTTGATTTCCCCCCTTTTTCCCTGATTCCCCCCTTTTCCTTGATTATTTCCCCTGATTTTCCCCCTTTTCCCCGATTTCCCCCCATTTCCCCCCTTTTTCCCTGATTTCCCCCCAATTTTCCCCCTTTTTCCCTGATTTCCCCCCTTTTCCCCAGGCGAAAGCGAAGCGCAAGTCCCAGGCCATTCCCATAGTGCGCACGGAGGAGGAGCTGCGGGGCTGCTGAGCAAGGAAGGGAACGTTTGTCCCCTGCCGGGGTAAGGACCCTGCCTGGGAGCGGAGCTGTTCCACGTTACCAGTCCCATCCCAGTCCCATCCCAGTCCCATCCCAGTCCCATCCCTTAAAGCAACCGCTTGGAAACGCGCTTTGGGGCAGGAGGCGCAGGGAAAACCTAAACCTGCCCCTTTGGGTGCTGCAGTGCGAGCGATCGGGCGCTTTAACCGCTTGGATCTGTTAAACCCCGGGTTAATTCACGGCCCCCTTGTAAGCAGGGGGATGAGCCCCAAAGGCAGGTTCCAGGCTGGCTTTGCTACGGGCTCCTTTGCAGTGAATGGGAGTTGCTCCCCTCGGTTCTCTTTCAGAGAAGGAATCACGGAGCAGAGAGAGGACAATTGGTTAAGTTGGGAATAATGGGATGCAGGGACCAGCTCCATGGGATGGAGCCACCAACTGTGCTAGAGGCATTCCATAGAGCTCGGGCAGCTTCGTCAGGGGGATTGGTTGCAATGGACGTCAGCTACTAGCGTTTAATAGCGTTTAATTAATAGCATTTAATAGCGGTTAATGGCGCTGTCCCCCCCTACTATAGGGAGAGGAGGGCTTCAGGTCCCTCCTGCAGGCTGCTCTGCTGTGCCCGTGCTGTGCCCGTTCTGCAGGCAGGGAGGGGATGCGCTGCCTCCCCCCTCTGCTGGCAAAGAACCAGATCCGGACGCAGCCGAACCGTTTTCCCCTTGGAAAACCGGGAGTTTCCTTATGGAAACGGCTCCTGCTCAACCAGGAGGGGGTGCTCGGAATGGCGGGGGTGGGGCGGGGGGGGGGTGTGTACTCCCAGCCCTTTGTGACACAACAACGCCGGGAGAGGGCAGAAGCAGGGACCGGCGGTGCCATCCCTCTTGCCTGCTCTCCCCGCTTTGCCCTGCCCATAGGATGGAAGCCAAGCCCCCCAGCACACCCAGGCTGTGCTGGCAGGACGAGGGGGATCCCCAGAACCAAGACCATGGGGTGCCCGTGGCCCTGCTGGAGGAAGCGGGTGAGTGAAGGGCCCCGAGGGGCTGGGGGCAGTGGGGATGAAGGCAGGGAAGGATGAGCCAGGGCAGCTGGGGAAGGGGCAGCGCTCCCCTGTGGAGTCATGGAATGGGGTGGGTTGGAAAGGACCTGAAGCTCATCCAGTTCCAACCCCTGCCATGGGCAGGGACACCTCACACTAAACCAGGGCACCCAAGGCTCTGTCCAACCTGGCCTTGAACACTGCCAGGGATGGAGCATTCACAACCTCCCTGGGCACCCATTCCAGTGCCTCAGCACCCTCACAGCAAAGAATTTCCTCCTTAGATCCAATCTAAACTTCCCCTGTTTCAGTTTGAACCCATTACCCCTTGTCCTGTCACTACAGTCCCTAATGAAGAGCCCCTCCCCAGCATCCCTATAGCCCCCTTCAGACACTGGAAGCTGCTCTGAGGTCTCCACGCAGCTCCAGGCTGAACAGCCCCAACTTTCTCATCCTGTCTTCATATGGGAGGTGCTCCAGCCCCTGCTCATCCTCATGGCCTCCTCTGGACTTGTTCCAACAGATCCATGCCCTTCTTATGTTGAGGACACCAGAACTGCATCCAATTCTCCAGGTGAGGTCTCACGAGAGCAGAGCAGAGGGGCAGGACCTGCTGGTCACGCTCCCCTGGATGCAGCCCAGGATACGGTTGGTTCCTGGGCTCAAGCGCACACTGATGGCTCATGTTCATTTTCTCATTGACCAAAGGACCGGAGCCTCTCAGCACCCTGCCCTGCCCTCTTCCTCCTTCTCCTTCTCTTTCTCCTCCTCCCTCCTCTCCCCACTTGTTACCCGTGTACCGCCTCGAGCAGAAGAGCATCGAGTGCATCGAAGCCTTCATCAAGAGCCGCGCAAAGGTAACAGCATCCCCTGGTGGGGCCCCGCTGCCGGCTGCTGCATCCCCGCACTCCGGTCCCAGTTGTCCCCTCTCCTGCTTCCCATTTGTGTTTCCCTGCCAGGGCTTGAGCTTCAAGATCGATTTCCTCACCAGCATCTGCAACGTGCTCCGAACCGCCCGGCTCTACGGCCTGCAGCAGGGCCTGGACCCCTTCTGCACCAGC